TTTTTTTTTAATATGAGCACACTTGACTGCATAGACTCATTCTCTAATATCTAGCTCAGATTTACCGCTCGGCAGCTTACATGAGTGACCTGACTCCTGGCGCAGTTACATGACCAACACTGGCTCAATACCGTGATCTAATGGGGCTGACACAGAAAGGGATAAACAGCATAAAGGCAAGGAGCAATAAATATCTATAATACTGGTACTTCATTAAGTGGAACAACATTTTATGGTAAATCCATATCCACAATAAAACTCAGATTATTTTTGAACTGGTTGTACAAATTTTTCCACAGAGAAACTGAGGTCTAGTAATACAAACTCTTCAAATGAATGATGTTATATAAATTTTCAGTTGGACAAATACTGTTCAGTAAAGTTATGAACAGTTTTACACTGAAGAAAGTATACTCTAAGCACAAGGGATACTATACATCACACGTTCCTGGTTTGAAAAGGAGGATGATTATCTAAGTGGCTACAACCACCGTTAGCTTTAAATCAAAACGTTGGCTCTGGCACTTACAGCTACAAGTAGTATAAAATATTAAATAAATAAAATTCTTTCTACAGAGCCAAATTTAACTGATATTTACCCACGAACCAATACTATTTCTGTAATGCTTAAATACTGGAAAAAACAGTACCATTGTTCTGTAATGTGTCAATAGTAACAAGGAGTGTGAATACATAAAAAAAATATATTAAAGAATATTAACATAGCAACGAAAAGTGGGTAATGCTCTATCCCATACAAGGACTGGTCATCTTTTCTGCAAACATAAATTTATATCATAATAAAACTCCATGTGAATACCCTTAATCACTATATTTAAATTATAAACACTAAAAAATAATTAACAAATAATTAAACGAAATATCACTTTAAAAAAAGCCCCACAAATACCAAATCAAACAATAACAAAAAAGAAAAAAAAAGCAACCTTATTAAACAATATTCCAATACAATATTGTTCTAACCTACTACCTTTTTACATAAACACCAACATAAACGATAAGAAATGTAACCTCTCACTACTCACAATCACATATATGTAATAAAATATGTAGCTCACTCACACTTCTCCAATCACATAGTCTTACTTTAATTGTAAATTTTAAGCAATAATAAATAATAAACTACTGGTATGTAAGTACTAAAAACCGTTGGTTCCAAGTCAGGAACAGTCACACTATTCCACCTCTCTTTCCGAATACACTCACTATTTAACAAAACACAACTTCATACATCTAAAGCACAAATACAATACAAAGGTTCTCTCAACAAGTTGCATTACTGAAATTTTATTCAACTTACAGATGACATGTTAATATAGAGAAAAAATAAGGTACAAGAGGCACTTAGTGTTTCAACACATGTTGGTACCGCTACAGCCCTACTGTGTGTAACACTAACATTATCCTAAGCACAGTTTGTTAAGTGTGGATGAGTGTAACTAGAATTGTGTTTTTGTAATTTGGTGCCCTCTTAAACCATTCCAGAATACAATATACTGTATCTGGAATATCCCTACTTGCCAATCCCATATCATATAAAAAATTAGCACATTTTTTTCCCACAATTCACTTCTGAATTAATTTTTAGGAATAATTCATATATGTTTCTTATTGCTTCACTAAAAATGCATAAAATCACAAACATGAAATATCTTACAATGAACCTTGCAAAAACAAAGACAGCAAGAAGGTGATTCCAAGCCATATGTAAAATGAGCTTATAGGAGGGCTAAGTAAAATTTTATTAACAATTCTACCCAATACAAGTACACCGTCATTAGATCATGGGTTACAGTCCTGAAAATAGGCATCTACTAAATATATTGTAATAACTGACGTGAATTAATATGGGATAAATTTGCCAAACAACACTACAACAAATCCTACTGTCTAACTAATCCACAATCCAGTTTATTTTACCTAACATTCTAGTTAGCAATGCTTGTTAATTCGAGATGTTGAGTTTGTTGATATCGCCCCTACTAAGTCGAGCGATTTCTATGGCTGCAGAGGCTAAGGGACTTGACATCTTCTATCAGGCTGAGAGACTGACACCCGCAATATTACCTATCCACTCTACTTTCATCCAGTGTTTATAATCACCTATTATTGGACTGAAGAAATCTTCCATATGGATCAAAATGTTTTGAACAAAATTCACAAGAGTAGTAACATGTTTTTTACTCATCATCTTGTCAGTATTGCATACCATTTCTAATATAATAAGTTTGTCAGTGCTGATGGAAGTACTGGGAGTGCTGAAGTATACCCTGTAATTATCTCTGTTCTATACATCTTCCAGTACCGATATCCATTGACACAGTTTTCACCAGTGTTCATATCTGCACTAACTACACAAGATCTTTATTTTTCTCACATTGTCTCTTAAATGTACGAATTGGGGTACTGTGGATTCTCTCAAACCAAAACTGAAGCCATACTGCATTAACATGCATCA